ATTTTGAAAGCCAAGTTGCGGGTGGGCGGGTGGGTGGGATGTTTGCAAGAGCACGGGATGTGTCAACTCGTTTGTTGAAATCTGTTGCACCACATGGATTGCCCACTGCGTTGCGCGGCGTCGATTGCAACGCGTAGTTTGCACCGCGTAGATTTCACCACATATGCTCTCCTTCCTAAAAGAGCAATAGATTCCACCCCCACCCCTCCCCCCCGAAATTAATGCTCCCCCTTTTCGTATTGCAGATCACGTATGATTCTGCCACATCGCCCATGCTGAAAACTGCCATGCCACCCCAGCCAGGCCGGCACCGACGCCCCCCACCATCCTCTGCAACAATGCGCGCGCTCTTGTTTATCAGAAATCATCAGGTTACGAGAACCCCTCGGGAAAAAACGGGGCGACGCGCACACGCGCGCGTCGTCGCGCGCATGCCGGAATCCTTGAAAGACAAAAAAACAATCGGTGACGTAAGGGTTTCAAAATCGAGCGCCACGAAACACATGCTTAAACGCATTGTTTTGCAACAAGCAGCTGCAACAAGAAATGTGCCCTTGCGAATTCTCTGGAAAATCATTAGTTGCTCAACGTGTTCATAATATGCTTCCGCGTTGGCCTCTCGCGCCACGCGTGTCGCAGTCGTCCGAACGCCGCTGCGCGCGCGCTGTCGCAAGAATGCCTTGCAACGAGCTGGGCGAAGTGCACGCGGAAGCGTCGTCGCGCGCGCCGGCATCTTTGGAAACAAAAAACGGGGCCCGCGAGGATTTAAATAAAGAGCGCCTCAAAACCATATAAGAAACAAACGGTTTTGCATCAACAACTTTCCAAACGAAAAAATAAAACATACTACATGCAAATATAAATAAAGAAACAAACAAACAAATGCAAACAGCAAGACAAAACAGGAAAAAAAAAACACGATGGAAACAAAAATATATATAAAAAAAAAAAAAAAAAAAAAAAAAAAAAAAAAAAAAAAAAAAAAAAAAAAAAAAAAAAAAAAAAAAAAAAAAAAAAAAAAAAAAAAAAACGCTCGCGCACGCGGATACTTGAGAAAACCATCGGGCGTTCGAAATGTTCATCAAATTCTGCCAAATGGGCCTCTCGCGCCGCATGCCGAACTCATTCGAACGCCCTTGCGCGCGTGCAAAGGGAGGGCGCGATCCCCGTCAAATAGCACCACGCGGGCCAATCGCGCGCGTCGGCCGCGCGCGCACGTAGAACTCCCCCGGAAACCTTGATCGCCGAATCGCCTGCGCGAGGGCGCCGTCATCGTTTGCCGTAGTCATCGCCGCCCTCGTCACCATCACTACTCTCATAATCGCGTCTACCGTTGTCGGCGTCGCCATCCGCCCAAGTCACCGACTCGCACTGAAGTGGCCGCTGAGAAGTGCCCAGCGGTCAACACCACCGCAGCCGCGTCGGTCGCGCCAGACTGGCTACTAGCTGGCCGCTGCGCGCGCGAGCATGCGCGGGCTAGCGCGGCCGCAGAGATGCACCAGCTAAAGCCAAGCACTCATGACAATCGCCGCCGCATGGGTTTTGCAAACCAAATTGCAGGTGGGTGGGTGGGATGTTTGCAAGAGCGTGGAGCGCGGTCAAGCGCGGTGCAAGGTAGTCAATTGAGAACATAGATTGCGCAACCTGGACTTCAATCGCCAGGGACGCGACTGGCCAAGCCCAAGCAGGCGATGAGATCGTAGTGGGCGCATACACCATCGACCATCCTGGTTTGTTCAGAACGACGAAATCTGCCATCCGTCGAAGAGTACAGATCACAATGCTACTGAGGGGGGCAGAGGTCAAAGGCCAGAGAACGAGTGAGAACTGCTGTCGACAGCTCGCTGAGCTGCTCGGGCTAGCAGACCTTCAAGCCCACTAGACCGAATCAGCATCTACGTCGTCAAAAAAACAAAAAGTGCTGAGGAGAACCGGAGATACTACGTCGAAGCAGGTCGAGGAGACGAAGCAGCCTTTCAGGGGTACCAACACGGGAAGTTCATCTATATATGATCCAAGGTCGAGGGCCCACGGTCCCCCCCCCCCCAGATGGTATGGTCCCAGGATTCCTCGGGCCCCCCCCCCCACATGGTATGTTCCCAGAGACGACGACGACGACGACGACGACGACGACGACGACGACGACGACGACGACGACGACGGCGACGACTACGACGACGGCGACGACGACGACAACGACGACGACCACGACGACGACAACGACGGCTGCGGCGGCGACGACGCCGGCGGCGGCGGCGACGACGACGATGACGACGATGACGACGGCGACGACGACGATGACGACGACGACGACGATGACGACGACGACGACGACGACGACGACGAGGACGACGACGACGACGACGACGACGACGACGACGACGACGACGACGACGACTCTGAACCACCACAGCACCACACCACATCCACAGGGGGGGGGGAGGGGGGCACCGCAGCGCAGCACCACGCCACGCCCACCTCTGAACCACCACAGCACCACACCACATCCACAGGGGGGGGGGGGAACCGCAGCGCAGCACCACGCCACGCCCACAGGGGGGGGCGGGGGGGACCATCGCGCGGGGGGGGGGGCCCAATGGCATCAGCATTGGGGGGGGGGCCCCAAGCCCTGGACCATATATAGCCAAATGCGGTTGACTGGGTCAGTGAACTGGACGGTAGCTAGCAGGAGCAACGAAGAGTCCGGACTTCCCTCGAGCTTGGCGGAGAAGGGCTACGAGAGATGGGAAGGTCGAAAGAAGCGCATCGTGAGGCGGCGACGCATGTGAAGCTCGCGGAGATGAAAACGTATGCGACAGAGCTGACCATGAAGCAGACCAATACAGCCAAACACGGGCGCACAGTGCACAGGAAGGAAGAATACGACTAATGCAGAATAATCAACCAGGAGAGCCTAGGTCTCCCAGAGAGTGCGTCCTGTTCTAGGAGCATACAAGTGAGCCAGGAGAGCTGCAGAGCCTCCTGAGAGAGGGTGTGAGACTACGCGCTGTCTGTCGCGAGCCTGGTTTTTGTGAGTTGGGGTGTGCACACACTTGATGATTGGGGCTCCGACTTTGGGAGCTCAAGCACAAACATCTGCCGCTCTTGAGTTCCGACCTTTGGAGCTCGAGCGAGGAGCGAAGCAAGGCTCCCCGGGCGAAGGCCTCTGCTAGCATCGGCCGTAGCAGTGATGGGGTGCATGGCGTTGGCCTCTATCTGAGACTTTAGGTTGCAGCGACCCGCAAGCAGTTTGGCCAGAGTTGCGGCCTCGGTACTCGGCGATAGTACCTCGAGCCTGCGGTGCCCGGCTGAGTTGCGAGGGCGGAAAGCCGTTTGCATCCGTCCATTGGCCGTTTTTGTGCGCGAGACCTCGTCGTACTCCGCAGTGAGAAAAAAGTAAACAGCAGCGGCCGAGGTAAAAGAAGTTGCTTGACAGACTTGGGCAAGCCGAGCCCTGTCAAGGACTGGCGCGTTCCCTTGGGGATGCGAGTTTCTAACTTCCCCTACTTCCTATGGGGGCGGCTGGATTACCTACGGTCTAGGGATCGTAAGTAGTGACAGCCGTATAGCTAATTTGCGTTATATACATCTATGCGCACGCATATTTACATGCGCGTATTGTGTGTTAGGCACGTGCGCGTGGAGCGCAGCGACTCGCACTGTCTAGCATGCGTGTCACTGCCTCCATTGGGCTCAAGGCCGAGTAGCAGACTGGGCGAGCCTTGGTTCGGATATACAAAAGACATCGATATCGAAATATCGTATCGTGGGAACCTCGAGGAGCCCTAAGACCCCCGAGGTAGGCTAGTCCCAAGCCAGGCGCACGGTGTGATTTCACTCCGTCTAGGGCAGAGTCCTGCATCATCTGGACGGCCTGGGAGGACACTTAGGTGTCGTAATAGCGATCACGGGCGTGGAATTATCCTCCTCCTCCTCCTCCTCCTCCTCCTCCTGCTGCTCCTCCTCCTCCTCCTCCTCCTCCTCCTCCTCCTCATTCTCCTCATTCTCCTCCTGCTCCTCCTCCTCCTCCTCCTCCTCCTCCTCCGCCTCCTCCTTCTCTTTTGCCTCCGCGGGTCGCGCCGCAGGCGCAGACCGGTCCAAGCAGGGTCGCCGAGGCGGAGAAAGAGCAAGGGGGGCACGCCTACAGCGTGCAGAAGAGGCGTCCAAAGGGACGCAAGCCCGGATGAGCGGCGCCAGCAGAGGCCACGGGGACGCCCGGCCCGAGGGCAAAGGCGGGGACGAACCCGGGGAGGGAGGGAAAGGGGCGAAGCCAGGGACGGGGCGAAGCCGAAGCGGAGCAGGGACAGGGGAGGAGGAGCAAGAAAGCGAAGGCAGGGGAAAGGGGAAGGGAAAAAAGGAGAGGAGCCACAAGGCGAAGAAACAGCGGAACCGGAACGGACGCAACGCGACAGCCGACCGGGGGTAAGGGCGACACGACAGCACGACCCGACACGACACGACGACGATCACGACGACGACCAAAGACCACGACACAAGACGCGAACGACACGACAAAGACGGGAGGACGAAGAACGACAAGGCCCGGCACGGCGGCCCCGCGGCGGCCCACAAGGGCCGCAGACACAACGACGACAGAAAGCGACTTCGCCGACACCCCGACGACAGGCCCGCCCCCGGGGGCAGCCGACAGCGAGACGAACGACAACGCCAAAACGACGTCAGACAGACGGCGGCCGAGGGCCACCAGAGCGAGGCGGAGCGAGCCGGAGGAAGCCGCCCAGGTTCGCCCCCCCAAGCCCGCTCCTCCTCCTCCACCTCCTCCTCTCCTCCTCCTCCTCCACCTCCTCCTCCTCCACCTCCTCCTTCCCTCTTCTTCGTCCTCCTCCTTCTCCCACTCCTCTTCCTCCTCCTCCTCCTCCTCCTCCTCCTCCTCCGCCTCCTCCTCCTCCTCCTCTTCCTCCTCCTTTTCCTCCCCTCCTCCCCCTCCTCCTCCTCCCCTCCCCCCTCCTCCTCCCGGGGGGAAAGCAGAGGGTCGGGTCCTCGAGCGAACTTGCGGCGCCCGCGTCCTCCGCCGCATCTGCCTGCTCCGCGACCGGCGGCTGCAGGCCCGAGCCCTGGGAGGACATGGAGGGGGAGGAGGAGGAGGAGGAGGAGGAGGAGGAGGAGGAGGAGGAGGAGGAGGAGGAGGAGGAGGAGGAGGAGGAGGAGGAGGAGGAGGAGGAGGAGGAGGAGGAGGAGGAGGAGGGAGGAGGAGGGAGGGAGGGGAAGGAAGAGGAGGAAGAGGAGGAGGAGGAGGAGGAGGAGGAGGAGGAGAAGGCGGGAAGGGAGGGGGAGAGGGAGGGGGATGAGGAGGGGGAGGAGGAGGGGGAGGAGAGTGGAAGCACAAGACTCATCAACGATGCTGGGGTAAACCCTCCCTCCAAACTTCCTCTTCATAGGCTCCTACAAGGGTTCATTTCCACTGAGGGAACTGTGGTTGGGACAGAACCGTTTGAATACCCTGAAGCGTGCACTCACGGGACTCCAACTCCACTGTTGCGTCTTGACGATCCTGATTCCTGCCAGAAAACGATTTCTGGGACTTCAACACAGCGAATTAGAAGTAACTCTTGCGCCCTCACAATCCTGAGTCCTTCCAACAAAAAACACCTTGTCTGGCACGTTGACCATGGGAATCCGTGAAACTCTTGCAGATTTTGAAACGAATGCGCGCGGCGCTAAGGCGAGAGCCACATGTTGAAAACGAACAGCCCTCAATATGTGAAGGTCTTGCAATATCTATATATGTGTATATATATATGCATGTATGTATGTATGTATGTAGGTAGGTAGGCAGGTAGGTAGGTAGGCAGGTAGGTACGTAGGTATGTATGTATCCGCCGGCCCCCTTGTGGGGCCACCAGGCTGTAGGCCGGGAGTGTGCTGCTCCCTGTACCAGTTCCAGCTTCCAGTTTCCACTGTTACATTTCTGCTTCTTGCTGCTTACTGCTCCTTGTTGATGAACGCGCGAGGGGGGGGGGGAGCCCAAACCAGCAGAACTACCACGCCCTGGAAGGGTTCTCAGAATTTCTGAGGGGGGTAAGAGTTGACACCCCTCACGCAGATCCGCAGGGTCAGGGTCCAAAAAACATAAGGGATTTGCCACATTTCTGAAATTCGGTGGCACCCCTCACGCAGATCCACAGGGTCAGGATCCAAAAACAAGGGATTTGCTACATTTCTGATATTCGGTGACACCCATCACGCAGATCCGCAGAGTCAGGATCCAAAAAAACACATAGTATTTGCCACATTTCTGAAATTCGGTGGCACCCCGTACGCAGATCCGTAAGGTCAGGGTCCAAAAACAAACGGGATTTGCCACCCCTCAAGCAGATCCGCAGAGTCAGGGTCCAAAAACATATGGAATTTGCCACACGTCTGACATCCGGTGGCACCCCTCACGCAGATCCGCAGAGTCAGGGTCCAAAAACACAAATGGGATTTGCCACATTTCTGAAATTCGGTGGCACCCCTTACGCAGATCCGTAGGGTCAGGGTCCAAAAACATATGGGATTTGCCACATTTCTGAAATTCGGTGGCACCCTTACGCAGATCCACAGGGTCAAGGTCCAAAAAGCACAGGGGACTTGCTACATGTCCGAAATTCGGTAGCACCCCTTACGCAGATCCGTGAGGTCAGGGTCCAAAAAAACAGGAGATTTGCCACATTTCTGAAATTCGGTGGCACCCCTTATGCAGATCCGTAGGGTCAGGATCCAAAAACACAAGGAATTTGCCACATGTCTAAAATTCGGTTGCACCCCGCACGCAGATCCGCAGGGCCACGACGTCTTACCAATCGCCAGGTGTGGTAACCCCTCTGGTGATCAATTGGTTTTGCTCATTACGAGTCGGCCTCGCATTAAGTTCCGATACTGCTTCACGCCCTCCCCCAGGCCTCATGACATAGCTCTTGCATAGCGCATTCTCCGAGAGAGGGGGCCGGCGGCAGGTGGCGAAGCCCTTACGGATATATGTATATGTATATGCATATATATATATATGTATATATAGATCGTCATCAATTGTGTTTCTCTCTCTGTCTCTCGCCCTCTCCCTATATGTGTACATATGTGTATGTGTGTATGTATGTATATATATATAGATATCGCAAGTGAGCGGCGCTAAGACGAGAGCCACATTTTGAAAATCACCCGCCCTCAATGCGTGAAACTCTTGCCAATGTCCAAAACAAATGTCCCGGGCGCTACAGCGAGAGCAACATGTCGAAAGCGGCCCGCCCTCAATCCGTGAAACTCTTGCCAATGTCCAAAAAAGATGTCCCCGGCGCTAAAGCGAGAGCCACATGTCGAAAGCGGCCACCCTCAATCCGTGAAGCTCTTGCACATGTTGAAAAAGAATGTGCGCGAGCAACATGTTGAAAACATCACTCCCAGCACACACTTGTAGAATCAACGTCGCAGGAAAGACAACGACAACATAAACCAATCTTCAAAGGCAACCACCACTTGAAAATAACAACGACATCTCGGCTAAACCGGTAACCCTCCGCCTACGAAAGTTTGACAACGGCCGAAACTCGACAAACTAACCGCGCGGTATATTCTGACACACCGAAAAATTTTCATCGACAAAACGTAAACACAATACATGTTCTTCCGTCTGAAAGCATAAACATGCATGTGCGACGCAGGGGCACACTATTCAAATATAATAACATTGTGATATGGAAACTAAAAACTCGCGTTCATATCCATTCTGCCTCAGTTTCAACGCGCGCGCAGATATGGTTTCAAGAACGCTCCTTTCTAACGTCATTCTGCATGTTCGAATGGTCATCGTGCGAGTAGGAATTATAATGCATGCCTTTACCCAATGCGACTCTAGCTCGGATCTAAAACCTTAAAATGGTTTACGCGGTTTCGCTCGTCACAGAGGCCAATGAAACTCGAAACACACTCCGCAAATGCGAAATTCAAATCAAGCAATTTGCACAAAAACTCCCGAAGGCACCGCGGGCCGCGAGAAAGGCCAGGGGTGGTCCACCTGCCCGTTCAAGGGGCCACGACCCACAACAGAGGCCCGTCCTGCGGGGTTCGACGGTGCGCACACCGTCGTCGTGCAACCACCGCGCAAAATTTGACAACGCTGGGCTGCCCTGAAGGGTTGAACGGTGCCCGCCAACAAAAATCGGCAACGAAATCTTGGATCCGACGGTCACCGCAGTCCCGCAGCGACTGACTTGAAAACCACCCGCCCACAATCCGTGATGGGCTTGCAAGCTCTCACAACGAATGTGCCTGGCGCTGAGGCGAGAGCCACATTTTGAAAACCACCACCGCCCTCCATCTGTGAAGCTGCTGCCAGTTTCCAGGCTTCAGGGTCACAAAAATTGCGAAGAAGTCTCAGGAGAAACGCCCAGCCCGCCCGTTCGACCAACCTCGGTGTGCGACAGGGAGGAATCATATATATCATATAAAAGGCAATGGAATGGAGAAGGGAGAAGGAGCAGGAGGACGAGGAGGAGGAGGGGGAGGAGGAGGAGGAGGAGGAGGAGGAGGAGGAGGAGGAGGAGGAGGAGGAGGAGGAGGAGAGGAGGAGGAGGAGGAGGGGGGGGAGGAAGAGGAGGGGGAGGAGGGGAGAGGGAGGGTGAGGAGGAGGGGGGGGGGGGAGGGGGAGGAGGAGGAGGGAGAGGAGGGAGAAGGGAAGAGGAGGAGGAGGAGAAGGGAGAAGGGAGGAGGAGGAGGAAGAGGAGGAGGAGGAGCAGCAGCAGCAGCAGGAGGGGGAGGAGGGAGGAGGAGGACGAGGAGAAGGACAAGAAGGAGGAGGAGGAGGAGGAGGACGAGGAGGAGGAAGAGGAGGACGCGGGTGAGGAAGGAGGACGAGGAGGAGGACGAGGAGGAGGAGGAGCATAGTTTGTTTCTTGTGCTTAATTTGTTGCCTGAAAAAGAAAAATGAAGACACAACAAGAGGGTGGAACAGCGGAAAGAGGAGGATCATTCTTGCCGCGCGGCCACCACGCGCTAGGGGCGTAAGAATCCCCATCCAGACACCTTGGAGGCAAGACAGGGCCCATGCCCATGCGACCTGTGGAAAGGGCGACGGGGGAGGAGAGGGGAGCAGAGAAAAGCACGCGCGCGCGCTCCCCAATCCGTCGGGGGAGGGTGAAACGCTAGCGCAGCTAGGCCGTGAAGATGAGAAGAAGATGAAAAACTGGATGGCAGGCGGAAGGGGCAGGAGAAGCCCCCCTCCAGGGGAGAGAGGGAAAGGGCCGAGGGGGCGGAAGAGGACCGAGGCATCCGGTGTCCTGGTTTTTTCGATGCTGGGCCCCAGGCAGGCCCGACCCGTTCCCCAGGGCTGGCTTTTCGCCCCGGGCCGCTTTGTGGTGGCCCTGGGGCCTGGCGAGGGCCCCCCGAGGCCGAAAATGACCAAAATACCTCCCGCCCGTGATTTTCTCGCGACGGGAGGAGGAGGCTTCTTCCCCAGAGGGGAGGGAGTGTGGAGCGAAGGAGGCGGAGGAGCTTCGAGTCGCCGCAGGTCTGCGCCCTCCCTCAAGATCGACCCCTGGCCCTCTCACGGGGCACGCTCCGACGAGAGAATCTCGGGGGGGAACCCAATCGTGGCGACGAGGACGCCCCAAGAGCCCCACAAAATATCATGAACGTGCAAATCCCACATCCTCGATGGGAGCTTCCAGGAAAGCACAGAATCGAGCCGATGAGCTAGATCGGCCATCGAAACTAATCGGATCGGCGGAAATCGACAGCCGAGTCGGGAGAAGCCGCATCGGCGGAAATCGGCTGGCTGGCAAGACTTCCACTGAGAGATCGAAACCCGAATCGGAAGCCAAAGTCGGATCGGAACCGGCACCGGAACCCATCGAAAGCGAATCGAATCGAGCCCGAGGAGCCGAGACGACCCCTGGGAGCCTCCCCCGCCCGCGCCGACGTGGGGCCGCCCCCCGCGCAGCGCTCCTGCAGGCCGAGGCCGTGGAGCTTGGCGCCGAAGTGGTGGCCCCTAGGGCGCCCGCGGGAACACAGGGCGCCGGCCCCGAGGAGCAGCACCGCTGCGCCTGGGGTCGGCCGACGACGGCGGCGGCGGAGGCGGCGTCGGTGGCGACGGCGGCGTCCTCGGCCTCGTCCTCGCTCTGCTGCTGCTGCTGCTGCTGCTGCCGCTGCTGCTGCTGCCGCTGCCGCTGCTGCGCCTCCGCCTCCGCCTCCGCCTCCGCCTCCGCCTCCACCACCACCTCCTCCTCCTCCTCCTCCTGGTCCTCCTCCTCCTCCTCCTCGTCCTCCTCCTTGTCCTCCTCCTCCTCCTCCTCCTCCTCCTCCTCCTCCTCCTCCTCCTCATCATCATCATCATCATCATCATCATCATCATCATCATCATCATCATCATCATCATCATCATCATCATCATCATCATCATCCCCCTCCTCCCCCTCCTCCTCCTCCTTTGAAATAACTTCTCCCTATGGCATCCCGAGGCCAGTTCTCAGGGCGGGCGGGGCGTTTCGCCTGAGACTCCCTCACATTGACAACAGCTTCACGGATGGAGGGCGGGTCGTTTTCAAGATGTCGCTCTCGCCTTGGCGCCGCGCACAATCGTTTTCAAAATTTGCAAGAGTTTCCATGAGCTTCCCTGATTGAGGGAGGGTGGTTTTCAAGATGTGGCTCTCGCCTTAGCGCCGCGCGCAATCGTTTTACTGTTCAATTTCAAGTGATTCACGGATTGAGGGCGGGTGGTTTTCAAAATGTGGCTCTTGCCGTAGCGCCGCGCACATTCGTGTTTTTTGTGCAAAATATTCACGCATTGAGGGCTGCTTGTTTTCAAAATGTGGCTCTCGCCTTAGCGCCGCGCGCATTCGTTTACAACATTTGCACGAACTTCACGGACTGAGGGCGGTTCCTCTTCAAAATGTGGCTCTCGCTTTAGCGCCGCACACATTCGGTGTTTTTTTTTAAACACAAAAAAAAAACTTGCAAGAGTCTCACGGATTCCCATGATCAGCGTGCCATAAATTCAAGTTTGGGAGGATACAGGATTATGAGGCTACAACAGTTACGTTCGTTCGCGGTGCTGAAGTCCCAGGAATGGCGTTCTAGCACGATTCGGGATCGTCAAGACGCAACAATCAGGTTGATCCGTGGCGTGGGAATCCCGGGAAACATGTTTTGGCATGCCTCAGAGTCTTCAAGCGGTTGTCTTCCAACGAGGCAGCTCCCTCAGTTGAAATGAACCGTTGCGGGGGCCTATGAAGAGGGAGCTTGGAGGGAGAGTTTATTCCAAAATCGTTGATGGTTCTTCGGTTTACACTGGCCATCCTCCTCCTTCTCTTCCTCCTCCAACTACTCACCGTCATCTTTGTCATCGACATCGTCATCGTCATCGTCATCGTCGTCATCATCATCGTAATCATCATCATCGTTATCAGCACCATCATCATCGTCATCATCCGTATCATCATTAGCATACTCGGCTTCACCATCATCACCACCACCACCATCATTATCATCATCAGCATCATGGCCATGCATCCGCATCAGCATCATCAGCATCATCAGCATCATCATAATCATCGGCAACAGCACCAGCATCAGCATCAGCATCTGCATCAGCATCTGCATCAGCATAATCAGCATCATAATCATCATCAGCATCAGCAGCACCAGCGCCACAGACATCATCCCAACAGCATCGTCATCATCATCGTCATCACCACCACCATCATCATCACCATTATCAGGGACATCAACATCATCGTGATCATCATCACCATCATCAGCACATCAGCATCACCATCATCGCCAACATAATCATCATCATCATCATCATCATCATCATCATCATCATCCTCATCATCCTCATCATCCTCATCATCTCCATCAGCATCATCAGCAGCATCATCATCATTATTATCGACATCATCATCAGCATCATCGTCATCGTCATCACCATCGCCATGACCATCGCCATCATAATCAGCACCAGCATCCTCGTCGACATCAGCAGCAGCATCGTCATTACCATTAACATCAGCATCAGCATCAGCATCAGCGTCATCAGCATGCTTATCATCACCATCATCATATGATGATAATCACAATGATCATCGTCATCGTCATCGGCATCGTCATCATCATCACCAGGATCATCATCATCATCATCGTCATCGCATCAGTAACACCGTCATCACCACAATCATCAATATCACCATCACCGTCACCATCATCAGCACCATCATCAGCATCAGCATCAGCATTGCCAACACCGTCATCATCACCATCATCATCAGCAGCACCATCATCAACGTCATCGTCATCACCATCACCACCACCATCATCATCATCATCAGCAGCAGCACCATTATCATCAGAATCATCATCATCGTCATCGTCATCATCACCATCACCATCACCATCACCTGCATCAGCATCAGCATCATTACCATCAGCATCACCATCATCACCATTGCCATTACCAGTACCATCATCGTCAGCATCAGCATCAGCATCAGCATCGGCATCAGCATCCTCATCAGCCTCATCAGTATCGTCATCATCATCAACATCAGCGAAATCATCATGGTCATCACCATCATAATCGTCGTCATTAACACCACCATCATCATCATCATCATCATCATCATCATCATCATCATCATCATCATCATCATCATCATCATCATCATCCTCACCATCCTCATCATCATCATCATCATCAGCATCAGCACCATCCTCATCATCATCGGCATCATCATCATCGCCACAACTACCACCATCATCCTGGTCCTCCTGCTCCTCCTCATCCCCGTCCTCCACCTCCACCTTATCCTCCTCATCCTCCTCATCCTGCTGCTCCTCCTCCTCCAAAGCAACAGCGATGACTTAAATGACCACCACCGAATCGATAGCAACATCCTGAAGGAGAGTTTCGCCGACGACAACGCAGAATTGACCTGCCGCCCCTTCTCCATATCATCTTAGGGGGTTGGAAAGGCGGTGGGGGAGGGGCTGGAGGGAAGGGTCAACGAGGGTCTGAAAGGAGATGGAAAAGTGGGGGAGAGGGAAGATTGAGGACTGGTCCTCGGGGAACGCGAAAGGATCCGAAGGGAGGGATGGGAGGAGAAGGAGCAGGAGGACGAGGGGGAGGAGGAGGAGGAGGAGGAGGAGGAGGAGGAGGACCAGCGCAAACTCAAGATGCATCAACGATGTTGCAATAAGCCCTCCCTCCAAGTTCACCCTCAACACGTCTCTGCTATAAGGTATTTCACTGTGGGCAGTGGCCCAGGAAAAAAATAACAAAGGTCTGAGAATCCTCCACCGTGCCACAACACCATGCTTGGGACTTCAACGCCGCGGATCAGCGCGACCGTTGCGTCTTGACGATCCTGGATCGTACCTGGAGGACGAAGAAGAGGAGGAGGAGGAGGAGGAGGAGGAGGAAGAAGAGGAGGAGGAGGAGGAGGAGGAGGACCCCCTCCCCGCGATCTTGAACGCCGTTCCTGGAACTGCGAGACCGCGAAATCAACGAACTGTTTATTATTGCGTCATGACAATCCTCAGCCGCGCCAGAACACCATTCCTGGGACTTCAGCCATACGAACCGTCGAAGCCGTCGCAGGCTTTGGAGACACATGCGCGCCGCGCCAAAGAGAGAACCAGATGTTGAAAAGGAACCGCCCTCCATCATTCACGCTGTTGCGTTTTTTTCTGAAAACGGATGAGCGCGGGCTACAGCGAGAGCCGCATTTTGAACAGGACCTGTCCTCCATCCTTGAAGTTGCGGCGAACTTGAAAACGACGTACGCGGCGCTATGGCGAGAGCCACATTTTGAAGAAGCCTTGCCCTCCATCTGCGAAACTGCGGCACGCTTTTAAAGCGAATGCACGGGGCGCCAAGAGAAGAACTGCACTTTGAAAACCGCCCGCCCTCCATCCGTGAAGCTGCTGCGAATTCCAAGCTTCTGGGTCATTGGTGGAGAGGAAGTCTTCAGCGAAATGCTGAGCCCGCCCTGCCGACACGCGTAGGGGTGCGATACTCACTCAGTCACTCACCTGCCATACGCCAGAGCGCGTTGGCAGAAGAAGGCATGGCCAGCCTGTTTTCACCGCTCTGCGGGAATCGCGACACGCCGGCGGTTGACCAGTGCCTATTGTACGCGGCAGGAGGAGGAGAAGATGACGACACGAAATCAGCCACAAACCTTCACCAAGCAGAGGGCTCGCGGATGCTTTGCATCGCGGCCCCCACATGGAAGCGAAGGGTGGGTATAGCATGCTCAATTGCCACTTCGCCCATTCGTTCCTCGGCTGCCCCACAGCCCAGGCACAAGCATCTGTAGCTGGCCGCAGGCTGCCGTGCTGAAACGTAAGGCGCCTCAGTAGATCAGAACGACTTGCCCGGCTGATTCTCCCTAACCGCAGGAGCTGGCACATCAGAAGCTGCGTTGGGTAGAGGTCTTGTTTTGTTCGAAACAACATTTCTCTAGTGGAGATCCTTGAAATGTGCGCAGAAGGAATGTGCAAAATACTGGGAAGACACCTGCCTTGAAAACCGTCTAATTGGCGACGCTGTGCCTTTTTCAGCTAGGCCGAGTTTAGAGAATACATCACCTTGCTCGTGAGAAACAAGAGCCTGGAAGACTTGAATTTTCTGGGCTGCCCCAATTCCTGCGTGCTTCCAAGCGCATCTGTGTCGGCAAAATTCACACCAAGCTGCCTCCAATCGTTTGCTCAATTCTCCACATACCCCGCCCCAGATCGAAAGGGAGGAGGTATCAATCCGCCAGCCCACTTGCGGGGCCACCAGGCTGTAGGACGAAGCTTGCTGCTCCCTGCGCCAGTTGCAGCTTCAAGTCTCCAATGTTACAGTCCTGCTTTCTGCTTCCTGCCGTAAGCTGTTGAAAGCCGCGCGAGGGGGGGAGGCCCGAACCGCCCAATTGCCACGCCCAGATCGCGTTGTCTGACTTCCCCGGGGGGGCAACGGACACGTAAAAATACATGAGGCTCGCGCCCCCGAGGCCATAATCCTTTGTAAATTGCTCAGTGTTCGCGCCCCCGAGGCCACAAA